TCAAATAAGACATTTTTTGACTATCAACACTGATTTATAAAAATTAAAATTTTATCGAGATATGCTGTAAACTTATATTAAATCCATGGATCTAGAAAACGTTTTAAAAATTGTAGTATGAGGCGAAAATGGTTCAAGAAACAAAAAGAAATATATATTTTTAAATAAATAAAATCTAACAATCAAATATAAAACCTAAACACGGAATTACACTATTATTATTATATTTTAAAAAACGTCAACCAAATAGGGCTCAGTATAATTTCCTCGCCATTCCTGGTGTATATATTATAATGACGTTATATATCGAATTTCATCATTTGTTTAATTTAAATTCAATAAATTAATAAAACATATAATTAAATTGATACTGAACAATTTCTGCAAAAACATTCCCCTAACTTTGGACCAAATAGGACGAGCTTTTTTGTTAAATACAAGTGCCTAGGAAAACACGTTTGCTCATGTTTAAGCGAAAGTAGAGGATATAATTTCATAAAAATCATATTAATTATAGTATGTTGTAAACGTCGCATGGATTTGACATATTTGCTCCGTGATGTCTACAGCGTTACGTAAAAAACGCGACGAAATTTTCGATCCTGAGGACCGATTTTTTTTTTTTACTTGGAAGAGGAATAAATATATAAAAGGAAAATAAAAGTATTCCTATCTTGGGCAGCGAGGAAGAAAATATTAATATGCGAGTGGTTGTATAAAAATAAAATAAAATAAGAAGTCGAAAACTGATTTAATTTTTAGATTCAGAGACTAAAAAAAAAAGCAAAAATCTTGGTGCTAATTTCTTTTTCTTAGCCAGTCTTATCCCTGTCATTTTTATACTCGCAAAATAATTGTAACTTTTTTGAAACTTGTTCTTCGTAACCCTGATAAACTCCTGCAATGTGGGTCAAAACATGTGCTTAAATAAACTATGAATTTTTCTTGACAGCTACCAGGATTTACATATATATTATTTCCTCCAGCAGTAATATTAATAGTGAAACATAGCAAAAGCATGAATAATTTAGAAGCGAGCGAAGAAATTCATTAGACACGAATAAATGGAAATTATCAGCCGGGTGTAGAGAAGTGAAAAGATATTTTAAGTAAATACCATTCAACCCGGCGAAGAGGCCTTGGGGATGACACACAACCCCACTTCAAAGTCGAAAATTAATTATTTTCAAGGCGTTTACAGCCTCATAGCGACCCACTTAGATAAATGGCAATTAGTAGCCAAATTCCTCCTCCAAACGAGACAGTAAAAAAAAATTATAAAAAAAAGAAGAAAAAACTAGGTAATGTATCAGTAATTATAGATATAAATATAAAACCAATAATTGGTAAATTAAATAGAGCAATTAAATTTGATGTCTATTAAAACATATTTAAAAAAAAATAATCTGATAAGAATGTAATGTAACATTTAACAATTTACATCTTTTTGAGTAAGTGTAACGATTTTAAAATAAAAATTAATAGATTCTCCTTATTAAACTTTAAATTATTCCTCAATGAATAAGGACATTGAGAAATTTCTAAAGCGTGTGTAATTTCCTCAATGAAATACTGTTAAATATATTAAACACAGAATTGGAAATACATGAGATAATTACTTCCAAAATGAATCTAATCACAAAATGTTTTTATTTTTTGGAGTGAGTATTATAACAAGAAAGCGACAAATTTCAAATATGTAGTCAATAACATACTATAACTAAAAAACTGTCGTATAGATATTTTATATTTAAAATTTTTCGACTGAGATTAGATTTTTCCCCATTAGAAATGAAACTTCAAAATAATCCTTAATTCCAACTTATTATTTTCAGTTAAATCTAACGTTTCCGGACCTATCGCTTATTGTCAACATATTTATATTAATATATTAAATAAGTAAAAAAAAGCAAAAAAAAAAAAAAGCAAAACCCACGTAAATGCACTCTATGCAGGTTTTAATGACATTCATAAATTTAAATTACCTACAGGACACTAAACGTTGGAATTGATTGAAAATAGGTGAGAAAAAAATCATAAAACGTTTTAGTACCAACAAAGTAATGCTTCAGAATGGCCAATAAAATATAATATTAATAAGTAAAATAAAGCATTACTGTGTATACAATTTTAAATAATCTAACTAAATTGATTACAAATATTTACGAGATTTTACAAAAATTGAAGAAGCAGCACATAGGTAAATACAATTTTAGTTAAACAAACGTTTAATGAATAGATTAATAAACTTTTTAACGAGTAAACAAGATAAAAAACAATGATAATTGTAAACAGTTAACAATAACCGCATATCAATTTTTAAGATTGCAATGTACAGCAGTGTCGCAAGAGTAAATAGTGTTATCATAATTTTAAAAAGTAAGGAAAATTTAAAAATACTGTTTTACGCAGTTTTGAATTTCTCGACACTTTTGCCTTTGTTTCAATTTGAAGAGTTTAAAATAGCACTTTATAAACACAGTCATCTCAAATAATTTGGAAAAAAAAAATTTCAGAAATCTTTTTCTACATTTCATAAAATACATTATATTAAAAGAACTAGACCGAAATTACTATCAAATGGCGGTAACATTACACATAGATAAATTATGACATCCATGTCCAGTTAATTTTTATCATCATAAATATTAATTGGCCGGAAGTGAGTGGAATTCTACCTTGGCCAAGGCGATAGAGGAGGTAAATAATTTGTATTACTATTAAGGAAGCACATGTAAAGATTATACGCAACATTATAAGATATATATATTAAATAAATAATATATATTTGCGGGAAATGAACAGCGCTTCTGCCTTCCTAGCTTTAAATGTCATTACATTTCAAACATCATCTTTAAATAGGTGAATAAGATAAGCGAATGTTACTCATAATCAGTAGAAGCGGTTTTCCGTGTTATACGTGATAATTGCCTGTTTCGCTGGGATAAATGCTATGCACTTCAATCATTATGGGTTAAGGCTATTGCTTCGAGATAAATTCAAAAGATAAACTTGGATCGAATTCGTAATCAGCATATTAAGCAGTTTGATACAAAACAACACATATTTTGCGAAATGTTGGTGTAAATAACCCTATGAACAAACCAGTACGGAATTAGGAAGTAAGCCTATTTGAGGATTAAGCAAAATATGTTCCCATAACTAAAATCTTTCGAAAAAAATCAAATCAAGCACGACGACAACTTACTCCATTTCAAGATAAACCTTACATACTTGAGGAAATGGTAGCAATAGAATTATTTCCAATCAAAAACATCCCAATCCCTTTCATCCTGCTACCATGAGAACCTCAACAAATAAAAAAATGGCAATGACCAAATATCTCTTGAAGCACAAATATCGTGAACTGGGAAAATCGAGATATTCAAGTTAAAGACCGAAAACATCAAACTAAATAAATACCAATAAAAAGTAAACCCTCCAAAAAATAACAACATATTCTAAGGATTAATACATGTAAATAAATACGCCAAGTTTAATTAATTTTTCATTTTTAATCAAAATGTTAACAATTAAAAAAAAACTAAAACCAGGGAATACCTTAATTATTAAATAATTAGGAATAACTATTCGCTTGGAATAATTTAAAACATCTTTTCTTCTCAAAAAAGAAACACCCTATCTCTCTATTATATAAAAAAGTTGTTAGTGATTTTCATATTTTATAATTGTCAGAAAAGGTGTAGAGAACACAATTGAATCTTTTGACGTGACACAGGGGCACATCATACCTCCACAATTATTACTATTTGTATAGCAACTCCACTAATTTGTATATATTAGTATTGTCATAGTTATATATGTAATTTATTAAATAAACGTTTTGGGAGGTTAGGGAAAAAAAATAATCATATTTTATTCTATTTTCGCTTTAGAAGAGTGGGAGCTTAACTTTTCTAGCCCTCTCACACGTCAATTATTTTACAAATTATACAGATGTTCATTTAATAATATATGTGTTGAGCTCCTGTTACTTTCTGCGATGCTAATAAAAAAAAAAAAAAAAAATGGTACGAGAAATGGTATTCATCTGGAGGTGATAGTTTGATTTTACCTAGGTGACAGCAGTTATTATTCGATCTAGACATGTCCCCCTTGAATATAATATAATAATTATTATATTATATATAATATTATATTATGACATAATTATAATTATTATGAAATAAAAAAAGGAAGCACAATGTAAATATTATAAATAAGAGAATCAATGATTGTTGGGCTTATATGAAGCCGGACAAGTTGAATATATATTATGGTTACAAATTGGCAATAAGGGACGATCCATAATATAGTTTTTTAAAGAGATTAAAAATTTGTCAGAACTGTGGCTTCGTTCAGTTTATTTTATGTTGATAAAAAATAATACAACCTGAAATACAGAATACAAGTAAATTAAAATGGAGATTGGTAGGCAGACACTGGGTACACCCCTTCTCCCCTAGTAATTTAAAATGTTTTGAGTCAAAATATAAAAAAAAAAAAAAAAAAAAAACACCATTCGAAAGATTCAGATTCGCGTATTATGTTTAATTTACTAACTCATTCGGAAAACGAGCAAATATGAATGAAACACACACGTCAGCCAAATTAGGTCATACAGTTTCCTTGCCGTTTCAATTGGTCCTTCTTGAAGACTTTATACTCAGCCTGTATAAAGTGGCTACTCTAAATTAAATAATTAATTAACGAAAAAACCTGACAGTTGAGCGTCATAGTGGCCGTATCACCTTGCTCAACCGTTGATCTAGAAACAGTAGCTTTATACCTTATATAGTACTGAACCCAAACCTTTTCATGGAGTGAGCGGGAAATGTTAAAAAAATACATACCGCAATAATTCGATATTCATTAACATTTCGAGGTTACCTTTCACAATTATGGTATTTTATTTTTTTTTTAAATGAATATATAACGAATGGAAAATAACTTTTAATAAACAGGCGATAAAATACTACCGATTAAAATTGTTTAATTATTTAATTGATTTTCTCGAAATAGATTTGAACAACACTCGTCTCTCCTTGTTTACCGTAAACAGGTCCCGTTTTGTCAAGTGCGCTGTTTACATGTCTATTATCTACCCATCCTTTTCGGTTTGTGGAATGATGACTTGTGGCCGCTTGCTGTTTGCTGATGCGCGGCTGTGGTTTGGCGAACCTTTGAGGAAGATGTGAAACCCATCCTGGCTGGAGTCCAACCCACCTGGACGGTGTTTCCCCTGGCATCAAGGATTTTTCCATTGATGAATTAAACATTGAGGATCAAGAGCTGCACTTTTGCAATTTGATTAATGTCTGGCTTCACTTTTAGTCAAGAATTTTTTATCAGTTACTACGATGTAACTCAAATGTTAATCAGACTTTCGATTTTAATTTATCTCTATCAGGTTATTTTCTTTACATGTCAGGATATCCCAATAATCCCAATTAATTTGTATTTTTCTTTCACTCACTTAACAGGGAATGGTGTGATAAAGAAAACCGAACAGCTGTGATCGCCTTACACAAAACTGAAAAATGTAGGTCAGAGAGTTTCAACACTTTGAAACCTTTAGGTATCAGCCGTATGTTTTAAGTACCGCACTATGAATAGATATAATGAGACCGTATCTATATGTGACAGACCTCGACCGGGCCGTCCCCATACTTTGAGAACGGAAAATGCAGTGAGAGCAGTGGCTACTCGAATCAGAAGAAATCCCATTCAAAAACAACATATCATGTCTCGGGAAATGTGAATATCTGTCAGATCAACGTCTCGCATAATAAACAGTGATCTTAGGATGGGTGCATACCGGCCGGCTCCTTATCTGTTACACTAATGGTCTTTATCGAAAGATTTTGTTTAACGAAGAGAAAATGTTTACAATTGAAGACAAATTTAATCGTCAAAATGATCGTGTGTACGCACACAGCTCTTAAGAAGTCCAGGAAGTCATCACCCTTCCTCAGCGATGGTTTGGTAGGGAATTTGCTTTGATGGCACCACAAAGCTCCATTTTTGCGAAAATGGAGTTAAAACAGCCGCTGAAAACTAACAGGACGATATTTTGGAACCCGTTGTCCCTTTCATTTTGATTGGCCCTCAGGAAGCCCTGATCTCAACCCGCTATATTATCGGTCCGAACTGGAGAGGATGGCATTCCACAGATCACACCCTAACTTGAAAAGCCTCAAACAATATCTGGTTCGAGCAATTGTTAGTTTTCCTCAAAAAGTGCTGCGTGCTGCTATTGATGACTGGCCACGTAGATTAAATTTTGAGTAATTTCTTTTTTTTTTTATTCTCTATGGATATCCATTTAATTTCTAATAAAGTTTTTGAAAAAAATGATTGTACTGTTAAAATTTGTTTCTGTAAAACTGTTTATAGACCAACGGTTGAGCAAGAAGACTGTTACATTTTTCGTTAATTGGTGGTTTAATTAAATGTATCCAATTTATTCGACCTGTATATTCTCTGGTATTTGGCTGGCAAAAAGAAGTTACTACAACCTTAGAATGTCGTTGCCACGACACAGATGTACAAAATGAGCTGTCAAATGACAATCAAATAGTGACATGCTCAGAAATGACTTTACTTTCTGATACTCCTACTATTTTGATATTATAATGTATGTAGGAATGAACATACTTCACTTATGTCACTTCAACATCGAGTGCATTAGTAATAAGGATCTAAGCTATCTAATATGTGAGTGTTTTCGGTGGAGTATTCTCTTACTAGTTACTATATCAGTTATCAGAACTAGTTATAATAGTTCATTATTAAATGTAAGGCAAGAGAGGTAGCCTTTGGCAAGAGGAATGTTACCGATAAGCGTCAACCCCGAACTTTACAGAGTGATAAATGGTTCCTCCGCTAATTCAATTTGTTCGAAAATGATAAATGGTCTCTAGAGAGCTTTGGGGGTGCCAGAAGTGAACAGGGAATTGAGCTCCCTGTAGCCGAGCGGGGAGTGATATATACTAACAGCGGAACAGATCTCAGCTCCATCAGCCGCTCAAATAGATTCAATTAGAGATAAAGGATATTGTAAAAGAGCCGGTCATTGGGAGGCAAGGTGAGCCCGCGTCACGGTGGCCTCCAACTCCTGTCCCATTGTCTACTGGCTACTGGCTATGTTAGCATCCTTCAGGTAAGTAGCAGGCAAGTGAGCCGCTTTAATCAGCAAATTAACTAAACTAGTTATTCCGAGCGAAAGATTCGTGCGACAGTATATTATTCTGTGATCAAATGAAAAATTAATAAGAAAACAAAATAATGCAACGTATAATAAGATGGAGGAATCAATTGCTACTTTCTCGCTTATTATAATTGACAAAGGAAACAAAAATTAATTTAAAACTTTATTAATGTTTGGAAATTAAAATAAACTGAATCATTGCTAATAATTGTCAGTTTTCGATGATGTTCTTTCCCTTTTGTAGGAAATTTAGTAATCTTTTAAATACTCGTAGATAAAACCTGGTAATCTTGTGGTGTGTAGTTTATGTAGCCCTAACTTCCAGTAAATTTTCGTTTTTATGTTATCCCACTTTTTAATGATTTCCGAAAGAAAATCCAAGGGGTGGGAGAGGGAACCTGGTAGGGTAGTGTTCCCCAAAACCGATCTTGGTCTTGCACTTTGCAATGCCAATACCAAGGCCGTCTAACTGTTGCAAGACCAAGACCAGAGCTAGTAAAAAATTCGATTTTTTCAATGAAAATTAAGACAAAATAGTTACTAATACTCAAAAAATTTAGTTACTATATGTTAATAATTGGTATAACCAATATACTTTTGCATTTAACTCCTCTAATTTTTCATTTGGGATAGTTAGGCTTCTCCTATGTAAAACATTACAGTAATATGTCTATAGTAGTAAGCTAATAACTATCTGCAAGACTGTTGCGAGACTCTTGTGCAAGACCAAGACCATGACCAAGACTCGTCTCGGTGTCCCTTTTGGGCAACACAAGCCTAGACACGTATTCCATGGCAACACTACAATTAACGTAAGGTTTATGTGTATGCAAACCTTTTGCCTTGCATTATTTCGAAATTAATACGTTTTTGGGCTTAAAAACGTAGAGCCTGATTATTCGGGTCTTGCTGTACGGATAAAAATCTTTAAAACCCGATTTGTCCCATGTCGATCTACAGACTTACCACTGTTCCAGTATTGAAGCCTAGCATAATGTTTGTACCAACTTTATAATTTAAAAAGATTTACAAAAAAGGAGAGTACGATTAACCGACCCCTCGTGAAATTCTGAATCCAACGATTCCCCATTCATGGTATATGACTGAAACTTCTATAGGGTACAAAACCGATATCGAACCTTACCGTAAAGCCAAAAACTTGGATTTTATTCTGATTACATACAATCTAACGACTAATCTAAATCCAAAATAAAGCACATAAATCAGTTTTGTTGCAGTCTAAAACCTATATATGGTTATAATATACAGCAATCTTGAATTTTTAAATTCATTTAAATTAAAGAAAAAAAATGAATTTAAAACTGTTCATATTTAAATATGTTGTTCTGACATTTATTTATTTATTTTTGTAATATTCCCGAAGTTGATATTTTAGGGTTTTTGTTTGATTTTTTCAGAGAAGCTTTTACAGGAATAAACAAGTACCTAGGAGATTCTGCTTTTGTTTTTTCTAATCGATTTGTTATTCAGGATTAAGAGGATCGAATCGCAATGACGTTTATGCAGACCATCTGAGTCAGGTTGAGTCATCCCAACGGTATTTAGTAGAACAGCTAGCCATTTAAAAGATTTTTTCTTTGTTCTCTTTGTTTTCCTATACATAGTATATACTTTCGAGGCTACGAAGTCATAGATCTATATAACATGTGTCGGGTCCTCTCAATTTTATGTTCATGAAAAGCTACCTAGCTGCAGGCAATAACTTCAAACTTGTAGGCGACCTTTTTTTTTATCGATTTTGTGATCAAATCATCTTACAATCCAAGTAGAAAGCAAATGGGTATTTACGAGTTTATAGTACCTAATTAAACAGACAGAGTTTGTCCCCCTCTAGATTGAGAACGTCCCAATTCCAACAGTTTATAACGATATTTTATTACTTTGAATAAGTTGGTAATACAAAATGTATAAAGGTTATTTTACATTATTCTATATTTTTTCACTATATAATGCTTGTAACTTAAGGAGGTCTGAGGGAAAAAAATGTGGATAAGAATAGTGTGTTCCAAAAAAAAAAGATGTATTGAAAAATTATGATTTTTTTTCCAAAGAAAATATTAAATATTAAAGTTGCCATTTTTTAAAAATTATTATAAATTTATGTTTAATATGATATGTGATATCAAGTTAGCACTTGTTAAATAATAGGCATTGCTTATTATAGTTGACATTGACGAATCCATTCCGATTTTTTTCAATATAATAAATATATAGAATTATTTTTTAAATATAATCAAGAAAACATATAAAATATTCACAAAATATGCACATAAAAGGGATATGATCAGGAATAAAGGGTACTAAAGGCTAACCAATTGTATAATGTCATTATTATCGTGTATGTCAAATGTTATCCAGATTAATATCACGACATAAGAGATATAGATTCTATATTTAAGATTAACTAATATGCAATAGATGAGATTACATAACAATGCCATAATTATTTTTATTTTAAACTTGTAACTACTATAAACATCGTGTTGATGAAATAACAAAAGATAACGAAATATTTCCGATTTATTTTTTAAATTATTATTAATTTTGAGTAATTACAAGAATATAAGGACACTATTACAAGATTTTAAAAAATATATATTTATATCATCGGAACCATTTTAAAACAACGAATCTAAACCTTTCCAACGTTGCAATTTCGTTATTTTAACATGATCCCAAAGATATATTTAAATTTAAAAATGATTTTTTAAATAAAATAATTAATGGAAGGCATTATAATCTATAATAGTTTTCTTGCTGAAAACAAATTATGTATCCGAGTTATATAAATAAATAATGACTCTATTGTGGTTTTAGAATTTGTAAAAATAAAACTAAGTTTCGTAACACAAACAAGGTCCTCTTTAAAGGCTTTAAAAAACGGCATTTATGAATCACAAAATAAATTAGTAACCGAAATACTACCGATTACTCATGGTAATTGACATTACAATTATGAAACATTTACGAACTAAAAACAGTAAAGTCAAAACATAAACAACGAAGAGAACAATGTTG